ACCTCATCCCGCCCCCTTGACCTGTCCATCCTCTCTGGACTGACCTATCTCCTCCCTACCTCCTCACCTACACTCACCTTTACTGGCTCCATCCCTGCCTCTTTAACCTGTCTGTCTCCTCTCCACCTATCTTCTCCTCTATCCATCTTCTATCTGCCTCCCCCTCTCTCCCTATTTATTTCAGAACCCCCTTCCCCTCCCCCGTTTCTGATGAAGGGTCTAGGCCCGAAACGTCAGCCTTTCTGCTCCTATGATGCTGCTTGGCCTGCTGTGTTCATTCAGCTCTGCACCTTGTTGTCTCACCATGACAATGCCTGAGCAATGCTCAGCGTATCTACGCAAATTGCTTTCATATTCTCCGACACTACCACAAAACCTGGCTGCAGCAGGAGGATCACAAAGAAATTTTGGAATTATAGATACCAATTAATCACAAAATGTACCTAAATAGCTAAAAAGGTTAAACAGATTAAAGTTTTTTTATTCATTAACAAGATGAGGACATCACTGGCGTTTATTGCCCATCCCTAATTGCCCAGAGGGCAGTTGAGAGTCAACCACATTGCTGTGGGTCTGGAGTCACATGTAGGCTAGACTATGTAAGGATGACAGTTTCCTTCCCTAAATGTGAATGAATGGATTCATGATCATCATTAGCTTCTTAATTCCAAATTTTTTTTAAAAATTGAATTCAAATTCCACCAGCTGTCATGGCGGGATTTGAACCTGGGTCTCCAGAACATTATCTGGATTAACGGTCCAACGATAATATGTCTAGGCCATTGCCTCCCCTATTCACTTAATTATATTCAAAAGTATTTGTGTCCCATTTAAAATATTTCACACAATTGAATTAAGTTGTTACTTAAAAAGTTAATAGATACACGGAAGGTAACAATTTCACTTAGGCGTATGAAGGAAACTTTAATCGTTTATACTTCACGCTGAGATTGCTGTTTTCATAGTTCCTACTCCATTGAACTACCCCAGCAAACTTCAGTACATTCTAGTCTGTAATGATAATAAAACAGAGGATGAAATAAGGCCGACAGAAGCTGGGGCTGAAATTCATCACTGCAACATATTGTGAATCAGCAGCTGACATTTCACTGAAGCTCACAACTTAATAGTTGAAGCTCTTTGTAGAGGCTCATTTCTTCACATCACTGTTGTTTTTAGGAAGTTTTAAAATAAGGGCACTAATTTTCAAGACAAAGGAAAATAGAAATGGGTGTGGTGGAAATCCACTTTTGATACTGTCACTGGCATAGACCAATTTCCAAATCTCAACTCCCTCCCCTTCCCAATACACACCTCACCAATTCACTTCGAGGTTTATAATTCAACTTCAAAGTAAAGCTGCTATCAAGAAAAATGATGGTGAAACTGTTGGTCACTTGCCAAAACCCCACTGCTCATCATCTACCAGTATATATATTGACAATACAATGGAATTATAACGTCATTAGCAATTTCATTAGTATTCTTTACAGAAGCAAAGCAGCTATCATTATAGATCCATAAAGACAGTATTTAAAACAAAAATCATAGGTTATAGATGATGCTGCTTATTGCCTATTGCTAGTTGCTCTGGAAAAGGAGCTACCTTCTTGAAACACTGCAGTCCACATGGTGTAGAGACGCCGAAAGTGCTGTAATGGAGTTCCAGGGTTGTGACTCAGCATTGGTGAAGGGATGATCATATATATCCAAGTCAGGATGGTGTGTGGGGGTTGGAGGGGGTGGTGATTCTATATATCTGCTGCCCTTGTCCTTCTATGTGGTACAGGTCATAGATTTGGAAGCTGCTGACCAAGGAACTTTGAGCTGTTGCAATGCTTCTTGTAGATGGTAGACACTTCTACCACTTTGTCAATACTGGAGGAAGTGAATGTTGAAGATGTTAGATCAGCTGCTAATTAAACAGCTGGCTTCTCTCGGTTTACGTCAAGTTTCTTGAGCATTTTTGGAACTGCACCCATCTAGGCAAGTGGTGAGTATTCCAACACACTCCTGACTTGTAAACAGTCTTTGAAAGAGTCAAGCAGTGAGGTCTCACTCCAGCCTCATACCTCTAGCCACAGTAAATATGCGGCTTGTCCAGTTCAGTTGGAGGATTAGCCATCGCCATAGAATCACTGCATGTCATAATTATCATTTCAAACCAGCAATGAAGAGAAATACTACCCTCTGGTGGACTTTAAGATGAATAACAGGACTTAGGAAAGATAATTTGATCAACAGAGAATTGGACAAGCATAGTGCAATGAGACAGATTGCACATGATGCTTTCTTCTATCTTCCTTTTAACAGAAGATATTCAGAAGACTTTTACAGTGCACTGAAAAGAGGCAATCACTTGTAAATGTTACAAAAAGACCCAGAAACAATTATCTAAGCTTTAACATCTTATAACGAGAGAATAAATTCACCACACCACAAATGTTATACAAGTGTTATAAATTCATACTGTGGAAGTATCTTCGTTTCAAATTAAACACATAAATTATGTTGCAATCACATGCCGCTAATGTTGCAGTGTTTCCTCATAGTGTGAATGGATTTCTAAGCCATAAGTGACTCCATTTTCAACATAGCAAAACTCTATGGGAATAACGTTAGACATCGTTGCATAAGTATCACATCCCAGCAATTGCCATGAATGGAGAAAAACTGCAGAGAACTGCAGTAGATAATCAAGAAGGCTGATAGAATTTTGGCCATTATTTCAAGGAGTTGGAGCACAAGAGTTGGTAGGTCATACTACAACTGTACAAAGTGCTGGTGAAACCACATCCGGTGTACTGAGAGCAGTTACGGTCCCCTTATTTAAGGAAAGATATTATGTTATTGGATGCTGTTCAGAGAAAGTTCAACTTGGATGGTGCCTGGTATGGAGGGATTGTCTTATGAACAAAGGCTAAACAGGTTGGGGCTCTACTTATCGGAGTTTAAAACAATGAGAGGTGATCTCAGTTCGACAGTATAGGATTCTTCAGAGGGTTGACAGGGTAAATGCTGAGTGGATGTTTCCTCTCGGAAGAGTTTAGGACTAGAAGATATAGTCTCAGAATTAAGGGGTGCCTTTTAAGACTTAGAGGAGGAGGAATTCCTTCTCTTTGGGACTCCTTGCCACAGAGAGTGTGGGGGCAGATTCCTTGTATATATTTAAGCCTGAGATAAATAAATTCTGGATCAGTTGGGAAATCAAGGGTTATGGTGAAAAGGCAGGAAAACAGATGTAAGGAGTGTTGGATCAGCCATAATTCTATTGAATAGTGAGGCAGGCTTAATGAGTTGAAAAGCCTACTTCCAATCCTATTTCTTATGATCTCATGCCAGGTCTCAGTTTAGTTAAAACAATGGCACACAGAACGTACGTAATCTTTATTTGACAATCTTCTCAGATATCAAAAGGGTGGTTGGTTTTCCAACCTAAGTGCCTCTTTGATTATGATTGTGGGTCTTTAACAAGAAGATAGGCAAGAGATGCTAGTTTTATGCTACTGTGTAATGTTTATGCTTGAATTTTACATGGATCCACTGCACTATTTGATTTACAAGGTAAACTTCCTTACCTCTTCTTCATTAAGGTGAAGATTCCAAATCCAGACCCTGTCTAGGCCCGAAACATCAGCCTTCCTGCTCCTATGATGCTGCTTGGCCAGCTGTGTTCATCCAGCCCTGCACCTTGTTATCTCAGATTTTTCCAGCATCTGCAGTTCCTACTATCTCTAAGAAATTAACTCGCAAGGCTGTGGAGCCTTCTCTATCTATCCGAGGAAGGTCACCCTGGGGTCATGCTCCACTTTGTAGCACGCTAAGTACAAGGAACATTCGCATGGGGCCTCCAAATAAATCCCCAGGCCAAGAATACACTGAGTACTTAACAATATAAAAGGGCTTTAATACATAAAACAAAGCATGCCACTAACATGCTAAATCACTCACATTCTAAACTGTGTATCACACAGGCATAATCATCGCTTAATTTAGAGTCATTGCTACTTAACAGGCATCTGAAGAAGCCAAGTGCAGTTATGTGAAAGTCAACAGATATATACAGACAGCCACACCTCTTTTAGTTCTCAGATGTACCAATTTTCTGACTGAATAGTTCTACAATTAATTTGACTTCACGAAAATACATCATGACTGCACAAGTTACATTATCTGAGAGGGAAACGAATGTCCAATACTTCTCCAGAAAATGTATAGCATTCACAAAGATTAAGAGATGATGGAATTTAAAGACTTTTCATCAGTTGGAGGAAACATGTTTGGAACAGTTTGCTGAAATAGAAACTGGTACATTTACTATTTATTAACGTGGGACACTATTGCCCCAAAAATCCAACTTTACTCAAACTCTACGATTAACTTCAATGTCCATTAATTAAAAATTAATTTCATTAGAGAAAGTGGATCTTCAGCTCCTATGAAAGTGAATGAAATGAGCCAGTGATTAAAGTCTTGGGGTTAATGGCATTCGGATTAATTCCATGATCTATGTCAAGCTAGCTGATCTCTCTATGATGTCAGCAGTCTACCATTGGAGAGGAGGAAAACCAATTATGATCCTGGGGCTTGAACTAATCTTCAGTGAAGACTGTGAACCAACATTTACGGTAAAGATTCAGACATAAATCATATCTCTTTGGCACAGAAGACAACCAGTACTGATGAAATTTTAATTAGCAATGTGAGCAATTCCAACTTTTCCCCTGTCAAGGTAACTTGGTAGATCAGATCAAATGAGTTCCATAAACAGCGTGCACCCAAGATGAAGTAGTTGAAAATGATCTTCAATAATTTCCTAGGCAGGGTTTAAAAAAAAAAACCCCCAAAAAAAAAGTGGTGGTTCCTGCATGCCTTCTGAATTGCAGGATTTTGAGGTCTTAATGAAGGAAAATATAAAGAAATGGTTAAACAGAGTGAATTGGATAATCTCTGCTTTAATTATTATGTGAACATGCAAAGAAATGAACGATTAGGAGAACTTGGTGTGATAAATCATTTCATTTATTTGAAATTGAATTTGGTGCCATAAATTATAAATAAGAAATCAATTTAATTACATCAGACCCCAAGAGCTCCCAACCCTACTGTCAAATATAATGAGAGATTATGAAAAATATGATCTGATTCACTTAGGCAAACACTAAAATGACAACTTGCATTTTTAAATTATGATATTCTTAGGTGGTACTTCTCATTTTGTCTGTGTTCTCAAGCAGATAATAACTTTCGTCAGCTCAAAAATATTTGACAATAATCGTCCCACTATAATTACCAATTTACACGTATACCTGTTTGGCTGGGAATGTAACCATTATTTACCTCTTCTGCTATCCCCCTTTAGTCAAATGGCTTTAAAGCAGGCACATTAGGAACAGAAACAAATCTTATTTCTCACTTTCGAAAGGATGCAGTTTTCTTAACGAATGGAAAATGTTTTAGTATTTTACATTGGTCCTATCCATGGTTTCTACATTCAAAATTTGGACAAGAACATGATGTGACAACATCATCGTCCTCAGTTCATATGAACAACCACGCAAGTGGATACTTCATTCTGAAATCATTCTGAGCCAGCATCAAAGATAGAAAGTGTTGCAAACACTCAGCAGGTCAGAACTCATCGGTAGAGGAAAGAAAGTATTGTTAATAATTCAGTTGATGACATTTTATCAAGCAAGTTTTGACAAAAAGGCCAGTGACCTGCAATGGATATCTGACTATCTTCTATCAAAAAAATGCTGAGGACCCCCAGCAATTTGTCTTAGCTTCAGATTTCTAGAACCTCAATATTCAACTTCATGTCTGGTTGAAAAGCAAGTATCTGGCTTTTTTTAAGAAATTCGGGAAAAGGCTCTGTCTTTGCTCACATTTGATTGTGAATTTCACAAAATTAGATTCTTTAAATTTCTACTCATATATGCTTTACTGCTGGTATTCACTGTCTCGCAAAAGTATGCTTGACCATTCTGTAAGAGAGCTCAATTTCAAGGCCCAGAAGTTTTAAGCAGGCAGATATCCAGTAGAGCTCACTTGATTATTTACCTGATATTGTCACAATGGAGAGAAGTGCACAGCTCATAGTGCCCACATTTGAACTAGAGTCTGTGCTGTTTGAGAGGGTTGAGACAGTAGTTTGGGCACTACAGTTAACCATTATCTAGTTTAAAACCCTGGTGTTTTTAAGTAGAATTATATTGGACTCAAAAGCTTTGCTTTGTTTCTCTCTCCACAATAATGTTGCTAGATCTGCTGAGTTTCTCTCGCACTGTGTTTTATTTAAGAATCCTAGTCCTGAATACTAACAATACATAGGACAGGCCAAGTCTTAGCCAGTAATTGACCCACGACTTACTTCAAACTTAACATTGCCAGGAGTTATCCTCTTGCAAAGAAACTAATTAACTAATTGTTGAAAGAGTGAAAGATCGAGCAAACTCTATATATGTAATACTCATTATATGGTGCCATCCTGGAGCTACCTCAGACTGAGTGAATGAAAGAAACAGGAAGGTAACTTTAGAATTATCTCCATTTGTGACAAGGGAGAGTTGGACGTGGGATGAGGCCGGGGTGGGGAGATTTTAAAACTGGTGAATTCCATGTTTAGGCCATTGGGCTGCAGGCTCCCGAGGCAGAATATGATGTGCTGCTCCTCCAGTTTGCGGATGCCTAACATGTTTTTCAACAAAGCATAAGGATGACCTTATTTATGGCAAAGGGTAGTGGAGCTTTTATTGTGATAGTGCCCAATATTTAGAGTTATTTGTCCAAGTTCTATCCAATTTACAGTACTGTCAAGTAAACCCTATTTGCAATGAAATTCAAAATATTGGTTTCACCAGTCCAGAAATGTAATTTCCTAGCATTTCTCATCCTTTCCTTTTAGCTGCATCAAAATGACAGAGTGCCAAGTATCAATGTGATCTGGGATAGTAGGAACTGCAGATGCTGGAGAATCCGAGACAACAAGGTGCAGGGCTGGATGAACACAGCAGGCCAAGCAGCATCCTAGGAGCAGACAGGCTGACGTTTCGGGCCTAGACCCTTCATCAGAAAAGCTTCATCATCAATGTGATCTCTCTGTTTTGCCACTACAAAGATATTGGCCCCATGGATTAGGTAATGGTGACACACACATCGTATTGTTGCTTTAAGATAATTCATAACACTAGGGCAAGGGAGCACAAATTCAAATTAACCAAAGGTAAACCTAGGATTGATATCAGATTGTTATGCATGGCTTCATACACAAAGTGAACATATGGAACGGACTTCTTGGAAGAGTAGTGGAAACTTCGAAGAACAATTAGACACTAAAATGAAGCACTTTCAGATTTTTCTGGATGATGAACTAAATGGGGCAAATGCCCATTAGCTAGTGGGGGAGCTATTTTGGCAGGTTAACAGAATTTAACACTGTATAGTGGTGACATTTCACCTCAGTGTCATTGTGTGGAACAGTACGCAGGTCCATTGGAATTCATAGTTGAACATGATGCCAGCCTGAAGTGACCACAATTCTGCAGGAACTGCAAAGGAATCACCTACTCCCCACGGTAAACCACAATGTTCTTGTCTGTTTCGTACACCTTTACTTCATACAGTAAATTTGGTGAGAGGTATTTCTGTAGGTTGTCCCAGATGAAGATAGCTACGTTTTCTGTGGTACTGAGCAAAAGGATAAAAGAATCAATTCTATTAGGTTCTCACCAACTTAGTCTGCTGAGTATCTTTTTAAAATGTGCATTTACATCACTGCTATAACCAGATTCAGTTGGGATGGGAGTACATTAGTTGAATACATTCAGGGTGGGTGCAAAGCCAGAAGCATTCTCCACCTTCACTAAGCTTGTAGTACAAATGCACCTTAGCATTCATTGTGCAACACTTCGAGTCAAAACAAAAATAGTGAACACTTTTTGCAATGAATCGATCAAATGTATGTTATATCTAGATATGACATAGTTACATAAGAGGGTTATGTATGTCAGTAATGGCTCAGTTATTTGCATGTCTACCTTGAAGTTTGGAAGATTACGGGATACAGTCCCACTTTAGGACTCCAATAAGATAAAACTAGGACTCCAGGATAATATTTTGAGAATGATATACTGCATTTCAGATAAGTCATGAAAGTCGGTGCCTTTTCTGCTCTCTCAAGTGGATGCAAACAATCCCATGACACTATTTTAATCAGGATCAGGGGAGTTATCCTTGATTTTGAGATAAATATTGATCAGGACACCAAAGGGGTGATTTGGACAGAAGGTACGTGCTCTCATAGGTAGAATAGTTAGTCTTGAGCTGACTGACGTTAAGAAGGGCTGCTCTGTAAGACAAGTCCACCTCAATGTGCTGGGAGTGGGACACCCCTCCAGCCTCAGGGAAATCAATCTGATTGGTCAGCAGCTGAATAGGCCCAGCAATGGCAGCACAGAGTAGCTGCAACTGGATTATAGCAACTGGACGTACAGGTGCATTCTGCGTCGGGATAGAAAAGGGGTGGGAATGGGAATTGGAATTGGCTTCTTTAGGCCAGGTAGGGAGGCACAAAGAGGGTGGTGTAATTTTGTAGGGGTGGCCCAGCCAAGCACAAGAACACCGCTGCCCCTACTTCCTTCCTGCTCCGAGGCCTTGAAAGACTGAGTTGACATCTTTAGTTTGGCCTTTCTCAGCTGCATGTATTATTGTGACAGAAGCAGAAACAGCCCTCAACAGGCTGTTAGTTGTTCCGTCATGGCCCTCCATAGTTCGAAGGGTTGGTAGACAGGCTAATTACTACACTAGCTGTATTACAGGTGAGAGGCCAGTTGGTTAGCCCCACGTTCTAGTTTATACACTCCCCATCCGGCAAAATGCCAATGAGTGGTGACTGTAATATTCTGCCCAAAGTCTCTAACAGAATGAGCAGTCATCAACTCAGTCCTGTGGGAGAAATTGCTGTTGTGTTTCCTACTAGTGAGAACACGTTAAACTCACTTCATTGGCTGTAATGTGTCTTAGAAACATCGAAAATGGATGCAGGAGTAGGCTTTTTGGCCCTTCGAGCCTGCACCACCATTCCATATGGTCATGGCCAAATCATGCAATTTCAGTATCCCACTCCCGCTTTGATCCCTTTAGCCGCAAGGGCCATGTCCAGCTCCCTCTTGAATATATCTAACAAACTGGCCCCAACAGCTTTCTGCGGGAGAGAATTCCACAGGTTCACCGTCCTCTGAGCAAAGAGACTCTTCCTCATCTCAATCCTGAATGGTTTATCCCTTATTTTTAGACTTGACCCCTGGTATTGGGGCATGTCATGGTCAGAAAAGGTGCTACATCAATGCAAGTTGTTTAAGCTTTGATAAACTGACCTTCAAAATATCTGAATCAAATGTGGCTTCTGCTCATAACTTAAACCCAGGTTAAAATAACACACAGGTGAGACCGAAACCCAGCTTTGCTTCTGATATGGGAGGTAGATAAATATTAATACCCAAGTCCTCAGCCTGCACCATCAACTTCAAACCCTCTGAGCCTGTGGTGTTAGAAGCCAGCATGCTAATGAATGAACCAGCATTTCTACAAACATGTGATTCGCTAACTTACACTCACAAACTTCTCTCCATCAATCGCATGACTGGATCAACAGGAAATTGGAGCTGCTGTGACAACATGCATGTTGCAGCTTAGAATTGTGGATAGTCATGGGAGAAGCTGCAATGTCTTTTTCTCCCCCACAATCACATGGCTGATCACGAGCCTCTCCCTTTTATTGCCTACTGTTGGCTTGTGTTGGAAGAATTCTCCACCAGATTCTGAATGCACCTGGTTTGGCCAGTAAATCCAGCGATAAGACTCAAGGCCAGAGTTTCTGCCTCAGGAGGTTAATCACTGCAGCACAAGATCTCAACTTCCAAAACTGTATTTCTCCCCTGAATAATTTCACACCCATTTCATTAAGACTCGATCTTACTAAGACCCTAGGATGAAATCCATCAGGACCTACAGTCAGGCCACAGCTGTAACAACAATACCACTTCTCTGGTGATTGTAATTTTCCCCGAGTACCTGACATTTTCTGATTTATCACTGCCTCTGGGATGTTACTTATATTCCCTATAGTGCATACTGATGCAACTTAATACCCACCAATTTATCTGCTATCTCTTTATTCTCCAATATCAATTCTTCAGACTCACTTTTTATAGGACCAATGCTCACTTTGTTAACTCTTCTTTACACATTTTATAGAAACCCTTACTTTCTACTTTTAGATTTCTCCCTTACTCTAATTTTCCCTCAACAGCTGTGTTTTCTTTTTGTGTTCTGACCAAACTTCTATCCTGCCACAATGATATAATTTTTATTTATGTTTGGGACCATCCTTTATCTTTCTAGTTAACCACAGATTGTGGGTCTGCCGCTTGGAATTTTTATACTCATTGGAATGTATCAAATCTGTATATTCTGAGATTTCTGAAATATCCCCATGAACATCTATCACTGCATCTCTATTGACCTTTTGTTTACACTAATTGGTTAATTCACTTTAGGCAGCTGTTTTTTCACATACAGAATTGACTTTACTTAAAATTAATACTCTCTAACCAGATGTAAAATTCAATCCTATTATGGTCGCCGCTATCTAGGGGAGATATCTTCAGCGGGAGATCATTAATTGATTAATCCTATCACATTGTAAGACAGTAGGTTTAGTATAGCCTGCTCTGTTTAGCTCCTGAACATGCATTTCTAAGAAACTTGCAAAAAAACATGCAAGGAATCTCTCATCTTGGTTACCTGTGCACAATCAAAATTTAGATCTCTCTCATGATAATCGCTGTGCCTTTCTAGCAAGTTTCCATTATGCCGTCTTTTACGCTCCACCCTACTATGTGGTTACTATTAGGGAACATGTCTACATTCCTACAAGTAAATGCTTGCCTTTAACATTTCTCATCTCCACCTTTATGTTTCCATATCCAGCTTTCCTGAACTTTGGTCATTGCTGACTACTGTACTGATACAATAATTATCTAACACCTCTGCCTTTTCCAAACTTCATATGGTTCCGAAAATGTCCTGTATCCTTCAGTATTCAAGTACCAATCATTGTCATCCTGCAGCTATGCCTGTGTAATGACTACCAAATCGTACTTATTTTTTTAATTGCGCTCTCAGTTGTTCTGTTTTGATCTGACTACTACACGCATTCACATACAATGTTTTTAGCTTCTACCAAATGTAACACTTTTAAAAAAAGTAAGGAAACAGAAATCAGATGAGTCAGTTTAACACCTGTCATAGGGAAAATGATAGAAACTGTTTTGAAGGAATTTATAACAGAGCATCTGTGAAAAGTTAAAGGTAAAACAACAAAGTCAGCATGGTTTTGTGAAGGGGAAATCTTGTCTTGACTAATTTATTGGAGTTCTGTGAGGAAGTAAGATGAGCTGTGGATAAAGTGAACGAGTGGATGGACTGTACTTAGATTTTCAGAAGCATTCCATTGCGAAGGTTATTGCAGATAATAAAAGCTCATGGTGTAGGGGTATCATCCTGGCTCGAATAGAAGAATGGCTGGCTAACAAACAGAGAGTAGGTAGAAATAAGCCTTTTTTATATTGGCATGATAGAATGAGTAGTGTGCCGCAGGGAATGGTGCCGAGATATTAACTATTGATCATTTATATGAATGACTTTGACGAAGAGACTAAAGGTATGCTTATGAAATTAACTGATGGAATTAACACAAGGATAGGTAGGAAAGTAAGTTGCGAAAAGAACATGACGAGGTTCAAAAATCTATGGATAGGTCAAGTGAATGGGAAAAGATCGGGCTCATAGGCTTTAGTGTGCAGATATGTGAAATTGCCCACTTTGGCAGGAAGAGTATGAAAAGCACATCACCTAAATGATGAGAGATTGCAGAGCTCAGATGCAGAGGGATCTGGATGTCCTCATACATAAATCACTAAGTGCTAATATGCAGATCCAGCAAGTAATTCGGAAAAGTAATAGATTGTTATATTTATTGCAAGGGGAAGAGAATACAAAATGAGGGAGATTATGATATAATGATATAGGGCATCAGTGAATCACCTCTGGAGTATTGTATAGAGCATCAGTTGCCCTATTTAAAGAAGAATGTAAATGAGTTGGAAGCAGTTCAGTGGAAGCTTACTCAATTAATGGACAGTTTCCTTCATAAGAAAAGATTGGGCAGGCTAGCCTTGCATTGCTGGACTTTAGAAGAGTAAACTTGATTGAAACATATAGGATCCTTGAGGGGTCTTGCCACTGAAAATTTGGACAGCATGTTTGCACTTGGATGAGAATTTGGAACTAGTGGGAATTGTTTAAAAATCAAGAGTTGCCCATTTAAGACAGATGAAGTGAATTTATTTTTGTTCCTCAGGAGGTCATGACTCTTTGGAACTGCCTTCCTGAAAAGGTACTGGAAGCAAATTGTATCAAGGCAGAATTTGTGGCAAGCAAAGGGATGAAAGATTATCAAGGAGGAGGTGAGAATGTGGATTTGAGGTTATAATCGGATCAGAATTTATTGAATGGCAGAGCTAAGGAACTGCAGTGGTCAAGAAGGCAGCTCACCACCACGTTCTCAAAGGCAACACTGGATGGACAATAAATATGGGACACCCTCATCCCATGAATGGCTAAAAAGAAAGCAAACTCATGGGGCCAAATAGCCTACCTTGCTACTTTTTAATGACTAAGAGAGAGTTAAGGACTACAGATGATAGAAGCCAGAGTCAATAAATGTGGAGCTGGACAAATGCAGGTCAGGCAGCATCCAAGGAGCAGCAAAGTCAATGTTTTGGGCTTCCAGCATCTGCAGTCCTTACTGTCTCCTAATCATTAAAAACTGTGAAGTCTTTTCTAAGAAGTTCTTTTGGAAGAAGTTCTCCTCCTCCCTCCGAAGAAAGCTCAGTAAGTCTCTCTCCCATATCAACTCCCCGGCTATACCAATCACTATAACCCCTTACCTACATCCATCCAACACCATATTCTCTAGAGCTTAGAAACATGAGAAGTGACCTCATTGAAACACTGGCCTCGATGAATTCTTAAAGGTTAGACATGGTAGGTACAGAAAGGCTATTTCCCCTGGGTTGGGACAGTGGGGATCGAGAACCATTAGACACAATCTCAGAATAAGGAGCAAGCCATTTAGGATTGGGATGAGGAGAAATTCTTCACTCAGAGGGTGGGGAATTTTTGCATTTCTCTACCTCAAAGGGCTGTGGAGGCTTAATTAGTGAGCAGGTCCAATGCAGAGATCAATGGATTCTTAGATTCTGAAGCCAAAGAATACAGGGACAATGTGGGGAAATGGCATTGAGATAAATAATCAGGCAATATCTAAAATGGTGCAGCAGGCTCAAGGGGCTGAATGGTCTACTCCTGGTCCTATATTCCTAACATTTATGCAATATACTTACCTAACAACATTGGTGAAGTATGGGACATCTTTGTCCAGATTCTTATGGTCAAGTGGTTTTATTATGGCTTCCTGATGAAGGATAAAAAAAGCGAGTTGTGGTCAATACTTTTAGAATGACAAAAAAAAGTTCATTGATTTCTAAAATGTTACAGATCAGATCCTCAGCAATTGTATCAGGGCCACTGATTAACTCAGGCTGGGGAAGGGGGAAGGGGGCATTTACATTTCACTTGCCATTTCTACCATTCTACAATTTAATCATCACCTGTATGTGCTCCTTGAGGTCTGAGATGTTCATCACCATCCCGGTGAGCGGATTGACCTGAAACACAAGTGAACAAAGATGATAAAGTTAGATTGACCACTCATTGTCAAGCTGAAGAAAGACTGCATGGAATTATTTCTGTTCTATCATGGTTTCTTTCAACTTTATAGTGCCCACAATAATA